CTTAAAAAAAAGATATGTTTTCAGATATGGTTACCCAATTCCAAGGCAGTAATTTCGTAAGCTTATTAAATTAAAATCACATATTGTTCTCCATAGAAAATTCTATAAAAGACGTAGAGAGTTTCTAGAATGGAAAACAAATGCTTATAAATCTCTCGAGAAGTAGAGTCTCTAGTCTCGGTGACTTTAATTTCACCTTCTAAACCATCTCATGAATAACCTTAGTTATGCTAAGGTTTTTGGTTCTGAGTATCTCTACTTAATTAAATAATTAACTGTTCTCTTGGCCTTCACCGTTCAAAAAAGATTTCCAAAGTTAAGGTTTATTTGTACGATTCTAACTAAGGATGAATAACGTTACTCGTCCAAAGCAGTGTTCGTGTTGGGAGAATGAGTCTCAACTGTTTACCGTCAGTCACATGTCTCAACAGAATTGAATGATTTAATTTCTAACGTTACTTTCTTTAAAATTAAATTTAAAAAGAACTATAAGTTATGTGCCATGTGTTAAAAGCTAAGACAAAAATCAATAATTAAGCAGAGCTTTGCTAAATAAGCTATTTTAAACAGTATTTTAGACGAAGTAGTATGATAGGTTCTCCATCAGGATACATAGAAAGCTTACCAAAGTCAGTGAATCAAAGCCCTAAAGAATGTACAGTTAGAATGTGCGAGACTTGAATCAAAGTTTTATGAAGAAGTACAGGCACTAGAGTGCAAGTATGCGGATTTATATGTGTCCTTTTTTTTTGAAAAACGAAATTAAATTATTAATAGAAAAGTTTAACCAACAGATGAGGAGTGTGATTTTCCTTCTGACTCTGAAAAAAGATGATGATGAAATATCAAATGAACTAAGAAAGAAGACTAAAGTAAAATCTAAATAAAATAAAGATAATGAAAACAAAGAACAAAATGAAACACAGAATGATGATACTAAGGGTATCCCAAAGTTCTGGTTAGCGACATTTAAAAATGATGAAATGATATCGGAAAGGATTCAGGAACATGATCCTTAAAGATCTTACAGATGCTAAAGTGAAATTATTAGAATCTAATCCAATGGGTTTTACATTAAAGTTCCATTTTAAGCCAAATTAATATTTTAGTAATACATTACTAACCAAGGATTATGAAATGTACCAGATGAAGATGATCCTTTTGGATTTGAAGGACCTGAAACTTTTAAGTGTAAAGGATGTAACAATGAAGACCATCAAGTAAAAAACAGAGCCCAGGGGCTCAGTTAGAACAGTCACAAAAACAGAGCCCAGAATGATTCCTTCTTTAACTTCTTCAGTCCTCGTACAGTACCATCGGATGACTAACAGTTGGATGAAGACACTCAAGAAAAAACAGAGCCCAGAATGATTCCTTCTTTAACTTCTTCACCCCTCTTACAGTACCATCGGATGACTAACAGTTGGATGAAGACACTCAAGGTCTCTTCGCAGCAGATTTTGAAATTGGTCATTTTATTAGAGAAAGAATTGTTCCAAAAGCTGTTTTGTATTTCACTAGAGAGGCCTTACAAGATGGGGATTTTGATGAAGAAGAGGAAGGTAAAGAGGAGAACACTGAAGATGAGGAAAAAAGATGATGACGAAGATGAAGATAATGATCCTGATTATAATCCCCATAGTGACAAAACCAACCACCACCTGAATGTAAACAACAATAAGATCTCCAGCAAACTGGAATCTGTTAGCTTAGTTGTTCTCTTGCCTGGGGCCAGGATGAGACTGTACCATTATGTACTAATTGTTTCACGAAAGTATATTAAAGAATGTCCTAAGAATGAAATGCACTTACTGAAATACCATTGCGAAGCTTTCTCCATTTCCAGGTTAAATTTTTTTACTTTATTTTTATGTTGGCTAGAATTTAATTTATCCAGGTTTTGAATTGCAAAAGTTGTCAGCAGTTTTTATTCACATATTTTAAACAAAAGTTTTTCCACAACTTCTGAGTCATGAAATATTTGGGTTGGTTAGTCATACAAGAATACTCAGGGTTACATTTACTAAAATACTACTGAGTTATAAAAACAGCTGGAAGTTTTAAACTCCAAAATATAATTAGATCAATAAATTTAATGGAAGTCAAAAATCGTACAGAATATTTACTTTGACTCTTACTGTGGGGAAATCTATAAGTTGCGAGATCAAAATCTGGCGCCGAATATTTGTGCCCCTTTCAGCCATGGGGGTGCCGTAATGTGACGGTCAGTCGCAATGTTGGTTGGTAAAAGAGTATCCCAAGAGTTAGCGGTGACTACTGCCAGTCGATTTCTTTCTCTTTCTGGTTGGCAGCTCAAAATTAGTAACGGTGTTATATAGCTTTAACAGCTTTGGGATCAACAAAATAAAGAAACCAAATTTCACTGTGAGGAAAAACATTCAATGAGTGAACATATGGCATAAATAAGCAACAGGTTTTCGTGTTTCAACACGACTTAATTATATCGTTTATCGTGCCTATTGGTTTACCTAGTGATAAACGTTCTGGGCTGGGTATTAGAAGGTTCAAGATTGGAGCGCGTGATGTACTTGCTCTACACTTTTAGATTTCGGTTAATTATATGCGTCTAGGCAGAAGGTGCTGATTGATGGCTGTTTTCCATCTGGTCTGTAGGTTTAAATTCAGAATAGCTATGTAAGAATCTTAGTATCTTTGACTTGGCTGTTTAGCAAATGGTTCCGCGTAATATTCTATTCAGGAAGAAAATGCCAAATAATATCTCGTTTCGCGTAATATTTTATTCAGGAAGAAAATGCCAAATAATATCTCGTTTCGCGTAATATTTTATTCAGGAAGAAAATGCCAAATAATATC